AAAACCAATTGCGGGAGTCTTCTTCGAATATTTGAATCAAACTCTTAATGAAAGCACCAATTTGTGGTAGCGAACTTCCGCCGTCTTCAATCTTGACGAAAATATACCTACAAAACAATCAACACCTTTGATAAAAAATTAAAATTAAAAATAAAAAAATAATAAAAATCTAAGCCTCATGCGAGGTTAGGCCAATGGATCTTCGATGCTTAAGTTAGTTTCTCTTGAAAATAGTAAGTGCTTAGGGCTTTTAAGGTAGCTAATACTTGTCAAAATTTGGTGGAGATAGAGGTATGTATATAAAGGAGTGACTGGCCACAGTGTTAGGGTTTTGCCCTACACGTGGCGACTTCCTATTGGCCAAGGTGTGAGGAAAGAATATTCTCAAGATATTAAATCGAAAATATTATCTTGAGATAATGGTGGAAATATCCCTAATTGATTGAAATATGGATTACTTACTTGAAGGAGTCAATCTTCAATTGAAAATGTATTATAGATAGGATTTGGTAACTAATCCCGATCTTTAATGCCTTTGAATTTTCCTTGCCACGAGCAGGAGAGCTATGAGCAGTCGCATTTAGCTACTTTAACCTTCAGAGGTGCTGAGTTGCATGTGAGTGTATTTGAGAAGCTTGCACATTTAATGAGGGCAATCTTGTCTTTCTTGAGCGAAAGTGCAAATGTTGTCTCTAGGATTTTTAGAATTATTTAGGCTCCACGATACTGCTATTAAAATTCTAAACTAGTGTTTTGATACCAAATTGGAGTTCAGGCTTAGTTAAATAGTCGAATGATCATTATAACAAATAGACATAAAGCTTTGCACATAAAACTCGACATGTTTCAGCATGATGCCCACTCATAATATAGATTTAAGGCCACAAGGGCTGAATGTATAAGTACTGAGAACTCAAAGGTACCCTGGTTAATCTCTAGTTATTTGTATGACAAACATTTAATTATAGCAAATTGCTCAAACAAAGTATGATTGTTAGTTTAGCAAGATAATAATATAACTACAATAGTTTTGGTATTTAGAAAATATGTTGTCCCTACATGAAATGTAGCCCAAACATTGTCCCTTTAAGCAATTTTTGCTAGAATAAATCACACAAAAACAACGAATAATATTTGCACATGAGTGTATAAGAAGCTAAATAATGGTGTTTTTTTTGCTATTAACCTAAGTTGTATTTATTATTTTGGAAATATGGAGGGACCAAAAAAAAGTGGAAATGCACCCAAATTTTGCTACGTTATCCGAAAATAGAGATTAAACAAGGCTTTTTTTATTATTATTAGCACCCCACATAATGTTGAATGACACACCCCGACCGAGATCAAGGCATGTTGGCTGTCACGTGAGTGTGACGTAGCCATGTACACAGTGCGGAAGCAATTAAGATAAGAAATATACGAATATTTAAAAACCGAAACTACTAGAGTGCACTAGAAAACATGAAATGTTAGGAGTCAGTTACAAAAGTAAATACTCATAATCAGAGCATAATAAGTCTAGGTGCAGTCCAGTAGGACAAGTACTAGTTATACAGTACCAGGAATGTCCTACTATTATTTAGATATGTCAGAACCGCCGAAATCCTCAAGGCCACCGACAGCAAGCTTACCTAAAATCTGGAGGGGTGCAAAACAAGAAACGTGAGTGGGCAAAAAAAATGTTTAACAAAACCATTTCATTTATCAACATTTCTAATCCGTCACTGTAAAACATGTATAATTTTTCCCATAATCAGAAGATAAGCATATACATAAATATATATATAATATATGTAAATATATTAATTGAAATCATGCTTCACAATATCATATTCATATGTATGTCATGCCAAGATATAATAGAGTAAGCAATTCAAGTGAGAATAATTTCATATAAATATAACATGTTAACCGGAACCCCTATGGTAGTCTGTACGGCTGAATTCATAGCTCGAAAGTCAATCTAGCCGGAGTCACTACAATGACCTATATGGCATTAAACTGCACAAGAGTCGGAACCAAATGAAAAGGTCTGTACGACGATAATGGTTGTAATATAATCATGCTCAATACTACTCACACATAATAGCTGGGCGACAAGTCGCTAATCACTTACGAGTCGGAACCACCTAAGATGGTCTATACGACAGGACTGTGCACCTAAATTGGATCCAATATGAGCATATGGTGCGGGAGGTGACATTATAAACAGACCCGTGTCATATCTCTAGCTAAATCTTAATCACCCTAGGTGCAGTTTTATGAGCTCAACATTATTCAATCACATATCGCACCATTGATAATTCACATAACCAAACATAACTCATCTGAACTTGCCTGAGCGTCCACAGCACCATAATTATATATCATGCATCATATACCAATTCATATACGAAATATAAATTTATATGCATGGCATTCAAGGCATACTCTCATTTAAACATATTTTATGGGAAAATATCAAGTATATTAATATATACTAAAACCCAAAAGCCCACTCATTGGTATGTCGAAGGTTCGTAGCCCCCGAGTCGCCCTTGAACACGCTCGTCCTCAGGATAAGTCTCACCTATAAGCAAATTAACTATAAAAACTTTTTTTAAAGCACATAGGCAAAACTAGCTAATAACTTCTCATACAATGCTCAATTTTGGTATTTGAATATACCACAGTGACCTACACAACCTCATGATCATTCCCAAATTTTTAGAATATTTTTCTGACCCCCTCACGCGCGGCCACACGTTGGCGAGTGCACGGCAACACGCGCTGCCACGCGCAGGGAATCCTGACAGATTCTCTAACTGCCATTAGTAATATTCCCTGGAATATTTCGTTAAAACCCAATGGTAATTGTTAACTCTAATTGATGGCGTCAGAATATTCCGTCAGAATTGACGGAATATTCCGTCCTCTTCTTCCTAAATCCCCGGTGACCGTCGCAGTCGCCGGAAACTGGGGATTTCGAAAAATCTTATTTTCTCACTCGTTTCTTCACCATTTTCTATAAAATTTGCACCATTGGAAAGCTGGAGATGAGAGGAACGACATTATACCTGTTTTAGGACCTGTAACCCATGAATTCTTGCCGGAGAAATTCGAGAAAATCGGCCAACTTCGAAACTAGCTATCCCTACGTCCAATTTCTTCCAACGAACTACTCCGAGCCTCGTGAAGAACTCCTAAATCTCCTTGTGTCCTTAAAATTCCATGAAACACAAGATTTTACATCCACATGAATAGTACCTCAAATCGGAGCTAGGATTTTCACGGGTTTTCGAGGGTTTCCTTACCTGAAAATGGGACCTTTAAACTCATATGGTCCTCACGAACACAATGGTGATCTTAAAACCTTCGATCTACAAGGTTTGAGAGGGTTTTTGGGTTGGTCCATACGAAGAAGGGATAGAGAGTGAGAGTCTGCGAGAAAGAGAGAGCACGGGAAGGAGAGAGAAAAAGATGGGTGTGTGTGTGGTCCAAAAGCCACCAATCAACACTAAGAAAAGTCTTAGTTCTAATTGGGACACCAATCTAAAACAATTTAACCCAATAATAACTCACACACATCATTTAACGTCCAAGGATAAAATTGTCATTTTACATCACCAATAATAATAATTCGGGACGGGCTGTGACATTGAATAACCCTGTTGATGCACAAAACCGGAGGTCTTGGAACAACGTAAATCCAACCATGAATCTGCAAGAAATGTAAATAACACAGAATGTATCGTGGTTCACCCCAAGGTTTGGGCTACGTCCACACTGATTATATATTTCTTAGGAATTGGGGGTGAAAAGTCCTTTTAGAATAAGGGCTCATCACTTATTACATATTTGCCCCTTCCTTTATTACATAATTACATTTAAGTCCCCCGAGTATTTGTACGAGATCTAAATACGGAGGCCCTAAATATGATATAAACACACCCCATATTAAAATTTAATGTTAAATGACTTGTATGCCTTAATATGCAATGACTATTTCGACCTCATAAGATTATAAAAAAAATTAAAATAATTCTAAATACACCCCAAATAACACATCCCAATATTATTTATTTTCTTCCATCTCAAAATCATTCCCTCTCCATTGTATGTAGAACAAAACTCTAATCAATAAAACTACAAAGACGTTGATTGAAAAAATTATTCATAAGAGAATCTTAATCCAAAACCAAATACACTTCACATTGATAATTGATATTCAATCAATTAATCCCAACTTTTGTCCCCATTTTCATATTCCTACTTGGGCAATTTCCATCTTTCTGAACCTAATTCCTTTAATCAAATCAAGTAACCCCTTAATTAGTCTTATTAGTTGGATGTTCGGCTTAGAGAAGCAATACAAAGGCCCTCATTTGCAAGTCTTGTTTTAAGGATATATGGTTTTCACATATTTTAAAGGAAAGCTCGGAAAGGTTGTCACTTTCTTTTGCGTACACATATTTTCTGTTTTGCAATATTGTCTTGCTTATCCTGGGTTGAAGTCCGAACAAAAAGAAATGGAGGAACTGAAGCATTGGCCTTTCCTTTAAATGTTGTGACCTTTTAATCAAAGGAAAACTAATGAAAATGACTTGAAAACTTTGAATTTTAATGATAAGGATAAAATAAAGAGTAAAGTGAATAGTATCAAGATTAATTTTTTAGTGTACAAATGTGGTTTTTTGTTAAAGTAAACAGTACCGGGAGCTTTTCGTTAAAATTCCCTTTAATCAAAGCAATGTTACTCTTTATTCAACATTTGGCGTGGCGTGGAAGAAGAAGAATAATTGTGGTTGGTTCTTGCTGGAGAAAAGGGAGAGCTAAATTTTTTTTCTTTTTTAAGATACGAAGAGTGTGGGATATATAGAAAATGAGGGGTATATGTTGAGGTGCGGGATGTGAGGGTATTATAAAAAAGTGAGTGAGATGTATTAAGATAAATTTTAATTAAAAAAACAAATGTGAAATGTATTAAGATTATGAGTGCATTCAACAATATGTGAGCTGTTAATAAAATATGTCTTAAACAATTGGTGGGTTGTGATCCGGTCCTGTCACTTGACTTGACGTTTCTCTGTGTTGTTGGAAAGGTTTTTGCTTTTTCCACACCCGACGCAGAAGATACATACAATACAAGGAGGAGTGCAGAAGCGAATCCATCAAATCATCAGCAATGAATGTAGAAGAAGAGGTCGAGCGTCTCAGAGAAGAAATCCAAAGGCTTGGCAAACTCCAAGAAGATGGTTCTTACAAGGTTAATTAAATCTCTCCTCTTGCTTTTCATTTTCCCCATCCTTGCTTAATGCCGCTCTACAATTCGATCCAGATTGAGAAATACAAGTTACTGTTTGGATCTAAAATTGTTGGGCCATGTCAATGGTGGATCTGTATTATTCTACTTGTTTACAAGTTTCTGATCGCATGATTGATCTAGGCTGTGTATTTGATCATTCATCAAAACTCACTACAATTGCAAAACAAGACTCGAATCGATTGGTGTTTATTTCGTGCAGGTATCGAAAATTCACTACCGTTGCTCATCAGATTGTGCTTGACCTCATTGTTTTTGTGCTTTGATAAGATTTCTCTGCGTATCTACGCATTACCGGTTAACATGTTCTTTGTGATTCGTCTCGAGATGTTTGCTTCTTTTGTTTCAAGTTTGTGGATGTATTTGATCTTTGTCGGTTGAAGGTGGCATTTATCCCCCTATAAAAATGTGGTCATTTTCTCTGCTATAAGCCTATAAGAATGTTGGTATAAGTAGAAAAACTGTAGCAGATGAGCATACGTTCTCTTCCTTCTGCATCCCAGCGTCGTTCAATGACCTCAAAGAACACACATCTTTGACGCACACGCACACACCAAGAAGATTTTTAACTATTTTGAACGAACGTTTTAAGCTTGTGATACCTTAATCTTCAATACTTTTGTAAATCATCTTTGTGTTTCCTACAATGTATGAACTTTGATTTATCGCTGTAGGTCACATTTGGTGTGCTATTTAATGATGATAGATGCGCAAACATATTTGAAGCGTTGGTTGGGACGCTAAGAGCGGCAAAGAGGCGGAAATTTCTCACGTACGATGGTGAGCTACTGCTGCAGGGTGTCCACGACAACGTGGAGATCGTACTCAAACCAAAACCGGCAGCGGCGGCGGAGGCAACTGCTGCAGTCGGGACAAGTTAGGGAAGTACGATGCACTTGTTTCAATTTCATGTCATGTTATAGTCCATATATCATGTACTGTGTCTGTGTGAAAGAGACTAAAATACTTTTGAGAGACCCATGCTTGCCAGTTGAAAGTGTTTATTTCGCTTAATCTCGGGTCCATTTCCAATATTACCTAACATTCTTGTTCCTGAGTTCTTGTCCATATGATGCTGCCCATGATCATACTCTTCATTATCATCATAATCATCACTGTCAAACTTATCATCGTCATATGGCTAAGCGATATTGTAATCTACACTAGTTTACGAGAATGCAAACTTGAACTCAAGTGCAACCGTACGAGTACTGTCCTAAATAACTGACTTAACTCACATATGTTTATCCCGCCCCTTAACCAAACGAAATACCGCAATTTAATACTTAACCCCACTTGTCATTTTAACTTACACACATATCACCTTGTTAACCTTGAGAGAATAATTGAAACACATTGTCTTCCTCTTCCTCAACTGTCACATTACAATAAACAGAGGTAATTGAGCAAAAAAGATTAATTCATTAAAAGACTGAGTTAACTAAGCAAACGCTCTCGTGTCAAATTCTTTCCTCTTTGTTTCTCAAGAATACATCAATATGGCAGAATGATTAACACCCTACAAAACATATTGGTAAGCCGATAGAGTAAAGTTTACTTTTGCTTAGCTCGGGACTGCATTAAAAAGAAACCCTCAAGGCTGAATCTTCCTATTGTACATTTGACAAAATCAAAAGCCGATTGATTACCAAGCGACCCACTGGAGTCTTCACCTGCAAACATGTCTCAAAACCAACTACTTGTGTGACGGTCCAGTAAGAATGAATGCATGTAGAAGGCTTTGTGCTGCCTGGGTTTCATCTGGTGTCCCAGATATGACAATAATCCTATCAGTTGTTCCAGGACGGGGCTCATGCACTATGACCTTGGCACCAGAAATCTGATTGAAGGGGAGAAAAAGGCGAAAATGAAAGAGGATAAGTTCAGGTTGATGTATAATCAGACAATCTGTCAAGTTTGAAACAGTATGCATATGTGATATCCTCAAAGCTCACGATGGCGTGTTCACTACAACAATACTCAGCTCACCGCACAGCACCCCCCAACCTAACGGTCCCTATCATTTTATAACACAAGGCCCCTTCCCCCAAGCAAAAACAACTATCCTCTGGGGGAAGTAACTGTGTTCTTCCCAGCCACTTCAATGTGCTCCTCTGAAATTTTGCACAATTCCTTTATCAGGAATAATACCGACTAGAAACTTAAAGACATGGGAATCCCTCAAATTTAATAAAGCCAAAATGGTTATTTGAGTTTTGATATCCAGCAAGCAAGAACTTGATAAAGATGGGGGTGCTTCCTAGCCACACGTGAAGAGCACAGTTTCCTTAAAATAAAATCAAAGAAGCAAACTACTAAAAAATTATGACATATACCTGTCTCAGACGAGCCAAATTGGTACCATTCTCCCCATACACAGAGCCAATAACATTTTCAGGAACTACGATCTCTATGGTTGTATTTGTCACAATAGCAGATTTGCTCCCGCTGCTAATACACAAGGACATTGTTCAAGAAACAAAAAATATAAAGCAACAAACAAAAAATGATAAGCACATTCCATTAGTAACTTTAAGTACTTAACTGCACGAATTTTCAGTGTCCATTTGAAACCGAATATGGTGGGTTTTTCAATTGACAAATTGAGGTGGGATATGGGATAATAATACGAGAGGTAGCTAGCCTATGATTATTTAGGTGATATTCAAGGGTACTTCAATTAGTTATGAAATAAAGGCTGTGCATGGCAATCAACTAGCCTGAGCAGTCAAGTTCCTAGAAAGAGGTGAAATATGAACCTAGATATAAATGTTTTTAATGAAGAATACCATTAGTTGATGTTAACTTCAAGAGCAAAGAGTGCAGTCAGTAAAAAATTACTAACCACGATGTCTGATTTGACTACTAGCCAACCTTAGTCCCAATATATTATTCAATTTTCAAGTTCACTTCATATCCATAAATTCAGACGCAGCTCACTAAAATGGTGGCTCAAGCCAGGAAAATCATACCGAGATGACCTCCTATCTAACAAGTTTGTTCACACCAACCGGCTCAGATCTTGTGATCTGAAGCTATTTTATTCATGCTTCAAGACAACATCCATTTTTCATTTTCAGACCCCTTTATAGCTTTAGCGGTTTAGCCCAATCTCATTATTTTCTAACCTGCCAATTTCTGTGCGACTTTTTAGAGAAGTCAAACCCCTTCCAACATCTGTGAAAGCCGCCAACTGCAATACAATACATAAATCAACTAAAATAAACATATCAACTAAAATAAACATATAAAAATTACAGCTGAGATCATGTGAGATAGACTTACCTGTGATGCCCATGGTCTTGGTGGGGAAGGATGATCTAAACTATGGGAAAGACCAAGATGATCCATACTTTGAATTAGTGTTGTATGACGGCTGAGACCATGAGTAACACCAACTGATGACGATGGCTGAAATCCAATAAGAGCTGGATCCCTAGGTCTTCCATAAGGACTTGTATCGGTTGCCGTTAGCATGGATGAACTGCTCCTTCTTCCAGAATTACTTACTGTGCTGGAGAAAAGGTTATCTCGTAATCTACCAGTAATATTGTACAAAGCATCTTGCACGTTTGAAAAATCTCCTGAAATCTGGGAAACAAATGTAACTAAATATATGAGAAAATTGCAAGTTCATATCATCAACTTTAGATCGCCAAATATAATGAATTTCACCAATGGAATGAAATGAAATCTAATTATTACACTTTCCTTAAAGAATGTGATAATACCACACCTGTACAACTTCATCATTCTCTAAGGCACATTTCGGGACCTGGTCACCCCCTATTATTCGTATACCAGTACCAGTTTGCTTCCGGATCTCTGAAACTATTGCACCCCCTTTTCCCAGCAAACACCCAACTTGGCTTGATGGAATTACAAGCCGTGCAGTAAGGGGTGAACCTTTATTTGAGCTTGAGTCTCGCCCCTTTTCTATGCCTGCCTCTACGGACCTTGAGAAGACAAGAACAGCAGCCTTTTGTGTTGGCGAGTACCTTGATTCAGGATTCTATAGAATATGAAGCAGATATAGATATAAGAAAAATATGCCTGCTTTAACAGATATAGATATAAAAAAAGAACGAAAAAGAAAACGAAAAATAACAGAATGACAAACCTCCGATGCAGAAACAGTAATTAATCGTTCATCACATTCAGCCACAGATGCTGCAATACTTATTGAAGCACCTGTCTCATTTTGAAGAGCCCTGACAATGGAACCCCCCCTTCCAATTACACCCCCAATCCTATCATTGGCACAAAGAATCCTGAAAGAAACTTCCTGTTGTTTTGTCTCAAGTGTGGGGATCCTTTCAGCCTCTATTGAGGATGGACGAACTCCTGTAGCATAACTCATGGAGCTGATTGGCAAATTAAGCATTGAGTTCCTCTGTGAAAGTTGATCTAAACGCAGATCAGGTAGAGTTTCACGAGGAACTGCCTCAGGCCTGCTTCCAGTCATCCTTGTCTTGTCAATTGGTGGACAATCTTGGAGACAGCCAGAGACAGCAACAAGTGCTTTCTTTACTGCCAAAATATCCCCTTCTATCTGCCACACCATTGACACAATTTCCAGGGGAGAAAAAATATAATGTTGTTCTTTTTAATTACCAAAATACAATAAAGTGGAGGCAATCAGACAATTAAGAACTAGAAGCATTAATATAACACAAATGAAGGAATCCTTTGTTTCTATTTTCTTTTACAACAAATATGAAAGGCAAGTGAAGTCAGAAGTTAAGCTACATAAAGGATACATACGTAAGAAGATCCTGAAAAAATGATGGCCTTTAACAGCTACCAAGTTCATTCCACCTATTTGGTACCTAATTCAATCCAGTCAACCGGCTACGGCTGAGGTCAAAATTAAGTATGCAAATGGCACACGCCCAACTAACCCAACTTAGCAGATCTACAACTGCCAGCCTTTGTATCAGTAACTCACAGATATTGTTAGCATTTATAACACCCTATAGTATTCATTATTTTTTATTAACAGCCATTAAAATCCTAATTATGAGTAGACATGATAAACTTTAGAACCTTCTAAACTAATCATACATATATCCACCTCCCTCAACACCAATATATGTAGAACCTTGCATGTGTTAGACCATTCTACATGATAAAATCAGCAGAAGAAAGGTGATCATATCACATTTGTCAATATCCATGGTCCTGAAGTGCCAGTGGCACCACTTACTCCAAACTGCTTCTATACAGCTTCTATATTTTTCTGCCAATAGGGATGTGGTTCTCATTAGGATCTCCAAACTAAACTTTTATTTCCAGAAATTACATTACCTAAAAAATAAAGTTGTTCCTATCACTTTGGACAACAAAACAGAGTATTCGACCAAATGTTTGCCTGTAAATGTTAAGCTTAGTCAGTATTCTATTTGTTGTCTTCTTGGTATACCAAGTCCTACCTCAAAACAATTAGCCTGGATACAATTCCATTGTTATATAAAGTAAAATTTCTCACATGTTACTGAAAACATGTGAAAAAAACTTAAAAGCCCACAAATAACTTTTGTAATTCAGTATAATTACAGCCTGCCATACATACCATCCTACTCAAAGTTTTGGTCCCTATTGGCAACGAAATCAAGCAAAACTACACTAGACCTTCTAGACTACTAAATACGTTGAGTCACGTAAACATACACCGAGTGCGCCAACAAGTTTTGATTTTCACATAACCCTAAACAGAATTTACTAAGTTCACATCAGCTAAATGAGACAAACTACATCATATACAAATATCAATAACAAAACAATGCAGGAGTCACTACTCATAAACAATCCGACTAATCAAAACCTAAAACTCAATTCCCATTTGAAAGGCAAAGACACAACCTTACCTCAATCATCTTGTCTGTGGCAGCAGCACATGCAGGTAACTTCTCATTCAAAACCCTAATTTTACCAGTTTCTTTCCCAATCTTCTCTACCACTTTACCCCCCCCTCCCCCTTCCCTATCACTGACCCGACCTGTGCCGCCTCCACCAAAAACCAGCACAACACCACCCTAATCCCCACCGCAATTGCCCCAGTCTCTGCCGCAACTTCCAGAATCCTCTTGAACACTCTCAGAAGCGCTTCCTGCACCTTGGAAACATCAATCTCCTCTTCAACACCACCGCCACCACCATTATTAACATTGCCGAGAGCTGGAGTTTTGAGCCAAATCTTTGACAGGATTGTGCTCGGAGTGATGACCACAACGACCCGGTCGGGGGATTCAACTTGGGGCTCTTCGATTTGGATCTTCGCTCCGGTGGTATTCTGGAGCTGCTTGATCAGGGTACCTGACTTTCCGATGACGCCACTGATGTGCGAGGCGTGGTAGAGCATGCGGAAGGCGATGGGGGTGGGAGGAATGCTGAGGGGAGGAGGGGGCATGGAACGCTTGGAGGATCTGTTTTTGAAGTTGAAGTTGGGGTTGGGGTCTGAAGACATTGTCGATAGGGAATGTTTCGCCGGTAGAGAGAGAAAGGTGCTTCCAATAATACTTTCTCTCACTACAAATAGTTTCCCCTTCACTCGCACTCTCTCTGTCTCTCTCTCTCTTCTCTCTCTCTATCTTTCTCTTTGGTACCTTTTTGGTACCTAATTCACTCCAGTCAACCGGCTATGTTTGAGGTCAAAATTAAGTATGCAAATGGCACAATCCCAGCTAACCCAACTTAGCAGATCTAAATCTGCCAGCCTTTGTATCAACAACTCACAGATATTGTAAGCACTTATAACACCCTACAGTTTTCATTATTTTTTAGTAACAGCCATTAAAATCCTAATTATAAGACATGATAAACTTTAGAACCTTCTAAAAGTATTTATACACGTATCCACCTCCATCATCACCAATATATGTAGAACATTACATGTTTTATACCATTCTATATGATAAAATCAGCGGAAAAAAGGTGATCATATGATTCATATCACATTGGTTCCAAATTAGCAGTATAATTGTCAATATCTATGGTCCAGAAGTACCAGTGGCACCACTAACTCCAAACTGCTTCTATATTTGTGTGCCAATATGGTTGTGGTTCTCATTAGGATCTCCAAATGAAAACTTTTATTTCCAGAAATTACATTACCTGAAAAATCAAAAGTTGTTCCAATCATTTTGGACAACAAAACAGAGTATTCTACCAAATGTTTGCATGCAAATATTCAGCATAGTCAATATTCTATTTGTCGTCTTCTTGGTATATCAAGTCCTACCTCAAAACAATTAGCCTGGATACAATTCCTTTCTATTGTTATATAAAGTAAAATTTCTCATATGTTACTGAAAACATGCAAAAAAAACTTAAAAGCCTGCAAATAACTTTTGTAATTCAGTATAAATACAGCCCGCCATACATACCATCCTACTCAAAGTTTTGGTCCTATTGGCAAAGAAGCCAAGCAAAACTACACTACACCTTCCTAAACTGCTAAATAAGTTGAGTCACGTAAACATTCAACCGAGTGCACGAACAAGTTTCGATTTTCACTTAACCCTAAACAGAATTTACTAAATTCACATCAGCTAAATGGGACAAACTCACTACATCATACACAAATACGAATAACAAGACAATGCAGGAGTCACTCACTCACAAACAATCCGACTAATCAAAACCTAGAACTCAATTCCCATTTCAGAAAAGCAAAGACAAAACCTTACCTCGATCATCTCGTCTGTGGCTGCAGCACAAGCAGGTAACTTCTCATTCAAAACCCTAATTTTACAACCAGTTTCTTTCCTAATCTTCTCTACCACCTTCCCCCCCTTTCCTATCACTGACCCGACCTGGGCCGCCTCCGCCAAAAACCTGCACGACACCACCCCAACCCCCGCCGCAATCGCCCCGGTCTCCGCCGCAACTTCCAGAATCCTCTCGAACACTCTCAGAAGCGCCTCCTGAGCCTGGGAAACATCAATCTCCTCTTCGACACCACCACCGCCACCATTATTAACATTGCCGAGAGCTGGAGTTTTGAGCCAAATCTTTGACCGGATTGTGCTCGGAGCGATGACCACAACGACCCGGTCGGGGGATTCGACTTGGGGTTCTTCAATTCGGATCTTGGCTCCGGTGGTTTTCTGGAGCTGCTTGATCACGGCACCTGACTTTCCGATAACGCCGCCGATGCGCGAGGCATGGCAGAGCATGCGGAAGGCGACGTGGGCGGGAGGAACGCTGAGGGGAGGAGGAAGGGGCCTGGAGCGCTTGGAGGATCCGTTTTCGAAGTAGGGGTTGGGGTCAGAAGACATAGTCGATAGGGAACGTTTCGCTGGTAGAGAGAGAAAGGTGCTTCCCATAATACTTTCTCTCACTACAAATAGTTTCCCCTTCGCTCTTCTTTCTCTCTCTCTCTTCTCTCTCTCCTCTCTATTTTTCTCTTTCTCTCTCTAAATACACATACATATTTGTTCGTGTATGCATCGATTCAACCTGCTGCCGCTGCGGTTTTTCTCTCTCTAGAATAAGAAGATGTGTCCAAAAAATAAAATAGGAATCAGAAGGAGCATTTATGATTTTCTCTCTCTCTCTCTCTCTCTCTCTCTCGTGGGTGCGCACTTCGCACTGCAGAATTGGGTGTGCGCGTGACCCACACACACCCTTTGTCATTTTTTGGTTGGTCATAGAAATAAGTAAATAGAAAATATTAGCAATTAAGCTGAAAAAAAAATGGATAGATAGGGAAAGGGCTTCATTGCATCTCTTTTTACAGGAAAGAAGATCGAGACTCGAGAGCATTGGGACAAGTAAAGGTCAAGTCTGACAGGTGTTGCCACCGTAAAATACTAAGGGAAGTATGGATCTATTTAGCTAAAAGAAAAAGAAGGGGGGGGGGGGGGTGATGTAATAACGATATTCATCACAAAGATTTAAAATACTAACTTATTTATAACAAGAGTTATATTCCAACTATCTTATAATCACGAGGATCATATATCTTATTAAGCATTTTCTTTTGTTGAAAAAAGTTAAGTTAACCATACTAGAGCGTCCATCTCATTGCGCCAGAGTTGACGTTCTCTTCACGTAAATTAAAATAGTTTAAAGTAAGATAAGTATTAATAACTACCCACTTTTTAGAGTGATTCTGAATCGATTATAACTTTTTAAAATGCTCTGAATAACTACTCAATGTTTTGAAAAATGGACACTTGTTGAGGAACCAATGTCAACTGTCAAGTGATCATGACACTACTGTTAATTTATGCTTGCATTAATGTTAAGTGATTGCATAGAAAAACATTGAACTTGTCTAGTTAAAACTTAGAGCAAGTCCAGCATGGGCAATAGCCCTGTGGATTGGCAACAATTGCAAGCCAATTGCCTCCCAAAGTGGCGCCAGCCTATTTGGGCAATTAGGCTGAGTGGGAGCCCGTGGGAGAGGTCAAGCGAAAGTCCAAGGTTGAGCACCTGAGAGGGGTGTAATGCAAGGTCGACATCAGCATAATGTCTGATGCCAGCCACGTTATAAAAAAAAAAAAATTGTGTCAGACACATGGACAACATAAGTGCGTGAAGGCCGTGTCTCTGACAATATTTCAGACGGTGGGGCCTGCATGGCAGCCCACTCAATTACTGTTGACGTGGCAAATTTTGGACTGTTTGATTTACAAATCAACGGTCCACGTCTTTTAGCTTTAAATTTTTTATAAAAAAATAGTAAAAAATCTGATATGTTATCGATAGGCCATGTGTCACAACATGAACTGCAAGATTTCAAATTTTTGGTAATCCAATGATTCAGATTAATTAGTTAATAAAAAATTTAAAAATTAATTCAAAATCCAAAAAAAAAATTATAAAAAAAATTCTATAAATACCTTACCCTTATCTTCCACCTTGCACCACATTTCCATATTTTCAAATACGTTCAACCACATTCCAATCTTTATTCAAACAACATAAACACACCAAATAAAATTACAAAAACACACCAAATAAACCTCATACAAATCTTATCGATATTTATCCATAAAAATTGTACTTCTGGATAATGACACATGATGTGACGAGATCGGTTAAACATCCTATCCGAAATTAAAAAAATAAAATTATTTTTTGTTATTTTATAAAATAAAAAATACTAATATTTTAATACGAATTGTCTGGGTTATTCAGTTTAGGGGTGGAGATGCAATACGCAATTATTGTTCATTAAAGGTGATTACTATTCACTTGAGGGGATTAAATTGCCTATTGCCAAGGGGGGCCTTTACACACTAGAAGTACTCTTAAGAGCAATCGGTTTGGGAATTTAAGCCTCTATAGATAACATTAAATTAAAAACCCACTTCAGTACTCGAAGGTAAGAACGTGTAGGTGTAAGCGGAATTGAATTCGGAGTTACAAAGAAGATTTTACGGAAATATAAATGTGAGGGTACTTTAGTAATTTGGTATTTTTGAATTTTGGTCCTTGATTATTTTAATATTTTATGGTGGGATATATTAATTATTTTAATAATTTTCTATCCTATAGGGCCCGCACCCACACCAAACTCTTCACTACTCTCTAGTCAAGTGTCCATTCTCCCACTTCCTCATCACTCTCGGCACTCTATCTCTCAGACTCGCTCTTCCTCTCTCCACTTTCCTGTCCTCCATCTTCTCTGCATCACCGACAACACCATCACCCCGTCGGTGCGATCCGACAAACCTCACCACCACCGCAACACTACCTAAACATATACGTCACAAACTCTAGCCCTGGAATGGTTACTTTTTCTCTCTTCTCTCTCTAGGCACCGCCACTGTTCAATACTATCTCCGGTGATTTCTCACAGTTCCCGACGAAGGTAAGCCTAAAAAACCCCCCAAAAACTTCTTAAATCTTGTTTTGGTGTACGATTAGGGTAAATTTGAGATGTTTTGGCAACATTTTGATGTAGAAATACCTCGAGGGAAACTTCCCCAGTTTTCCAACAAGAGATCCAACGACTTCGAGCCATTTTTCAGCCAATCCCAACCATAACACGACTTTATTTTGGTATAAAATTCTTCTTCTCTCTATGAGATTCAATTCAATATATCATATGCTAGGTTTAGTCGAGATTCAGAGCTAAACAAAGCTTGGGAAGTTTCTTGGCCAAACTCGGCCCAGTTTTGGCTTTCTTCTTCGTTAGGTCAGGCAGACTTGTGAGCCCAAACGAGTAAACTTGACCAGAGAAAAAAAAATCCAAAGCCGAGATCCGCGATCCCGTTCGTCCCATTTCTTAATGGAATATTCTCGAAATATTCTTTGGAATATTCCTTGTGCTGACTTTTTCGAAATTTTCTCAGAAATCATCCCAGGTTAATTTCGACGTCCTGAGTCCATTTTTGACATCCATTTAATGTCCAAAGTTTTAACGTAGTTGATCATCCTGGTGGCTTGGTTGACTTTTTTTTCGAAAATTGCCCGGGAACCTTCTTAGCGTATTTCGACGCTCTGATTCCAAATCCGCACTTTGTTTTCTCAAATTTAATCATTTTAGTGGATTTTTACTAATGGGTCCCAATATTATGCTTTAGGTGCAATTACTATCAGAGACTCCGGCTTTCCTAGCTCGAACCAATGTGACATCATAAGTAACTGTGAGTGGATCTTTGCTTTTGAATATTATATATTTATTTGTTTCCATTTATATATTTAATAAATATTTTTCTACGTTATGCCTAGATTAGACTAATGCTTTTAGAAATTAGCGCATTGACGAAACTTACGAATTTATGCTAAATCCTACAGGATGCACAGGTGGGCGAACTATTATGGGATTTTTATTTACGGCCATGATTAGTATTTTATTGAATAATATTATGTCGACTAGAAATTATCGATTTACCGTTGTATGATCATATTTACATTATCTGCTCATCGTGTGCTACACTGGTGTTGGTACTCGCCCGGGCCAGGGCCAGTTTTCACGTGTATATTCACATCGCACCGTACGCTTACTATGGATCCATTGTTGGTGCCAATCCTATCCTAGATTGCTATAGGCAATTAGGACTCGTATGTGATGTGCATAGCACCAGTTTTCATATGATTGTAGTACTAGATCGTAAATCATTTCTTTACACCCAGTCTTGTTCATGTAAGAATACCTCTGCATGAACTCGTGTGTCAACATATCTCAATGAGCGCTCAATATGATATGTTTATTTATGCGAAGTTATATGCCTATTTACGAATTATTGTGAAGTATTGCATTTTTGAGGTATTGGTGGCTATAGTAAGTATTTTCATGCTATACGTAGTATGTTATATTTGGAAACTATACTTGTTTTATGACTAGGGGTTATACATTTTTGAAAAGGTTTTTACAAAGCTTTATTTTTAGGCCCACTCACCCTTGTTTTTCGCCCTTCCAGGTTTTAGTGGCAGAGCTTTCATGTCGACGAGGACTTTCTGGCAAAACATTGTTATGGGAATACTCCCGATGGTATAATTCTTCTTCTACCATTGCTGTACTTTACTTATGCTCTGACATCACATGTGAAATGGGTTCATTTTCGCTTACATGCATACTCTTTCATCTAGTCACTTTTAGACTTAAATTTACTCACATTACCACATCACTACACTTTATGGCTTCATCACCCTCCTGATGTGGGCCAGCACAACTCAATTCGAGTCCAGGTGGACATTCCGGGTCGGGGTGTGTCATTGGTGGCATAACGAATGTTCAATTTTTAATTGTTACGTAGTTATTTAGAATGTTTTAAAACATTTAGAACCAATTTGGAATCACTTCTAAAAATAACGTAGTTATCCATACTTGAACCTCTTTTAGAATAAAATGATATTTTGTAAAGAAATAAAAATATTAGAAAGAGGTTGTATTTCAAGTGACACGCACGATCCTGATATCCTCTAAACACCAGGGTAAGCACGTGCTGGTTGACACCCAGGGATGATGAAGCCATATTAACATGCATGTAAGTTATGAAGAAAGAACCAATGTAAATAAAACACGTAAATTTTACTAATAAAGAATATGTAAAAGTGGGAATGTGTTTAGAGCATACAACTGATCAAGAATACTGTAGAAGAAATATTATGAAAAGGTACGAACAAAGGAATAGGTCCTACACTAAGAGGACTCAAAGATACCAATGCGGGAGTGCTTTGACGTCGGGATTGTACACCTCCATTCTAAGTCCTGAAGGGGGTGCAAAACAAAGCATGAGTGGACCAAGTTTATATATAAGCAATACTAAAACAATTACTCTTCAAATGTACTAACCCCCAGTTTTAGAAAACTCATATAGCTAATAAGTAATAGGATTTCCAAAAACCCTAGCATGCCATAAAACCTTCGTAAAATGTATATCGTATATAATGTGCTTAGTAGTGGTATCATAATCACCTGAAGACACTACATCGCCCGCCCGAAGACGCACACACACACGCGCGCGCGCACACACACACACACACACACACACACACACACACATATATATATATATATATCCACTAAGTAAGCACATAAAATTTTGAACATAAACTTTCCAAAGTATATCTCATCGGAGCTTAATAGGTCAATCATCATATCATAAATCCATAGGAGCATTCTAGCTCAAAACATCATCAGAAACCATGTTCATAAGTATGTATATTCATAAATATTTCAAAAAACGTAAATCCAATAACTCATAAACGTTTCATATAACGTAGTCATAAAATCATGCTTTTCATGTATGCATATCTAGTAATAAAATCATGCATTTTAGAAGGGGTCCACTTACAGATACTCCGTCGTCGAAGAGCCGTTCAAACAAGGGAAGACGAAATCGCCACTAATAAATGCACCTAAGCACATAAAAGGACCAATTAGTAAAATCCTACTAAAATGATTGAATTTGGGAAAACGGAGCATATATTTGAAATTAGTGCATCGAAATACCCTTAGAGGAGTCCTAGGCAAATTTCCTAAAAGTCAACTGGAATATTCCAGAGAATATTCCCTAACAGAATATTCTATAAAATATTCCCTAACAGAATATTCTATAAAATATTCCCTAACGAAATATTCCATAGAATATTCTCTAATGCAATATTTCGAAGAATATTCCATCGGGTCCAAGCCGGGTCGAATTTGAGTCAGATTCGGGTTTTAGATCGGGTTTTGCGTTGCTGGTCGAGTCGACTTGGTTTCAAGCCATGGGTTGGACGGTTTCAACAAAGAAGAAAGCCGGAGCTTTCCAAGCTCCGTTCATCCCTAAATCTTAATGAAAACTAGTCATTCAATATACCAAATTGAAACCCAAGGAACAAGGAAGAATGTTATACCTATCCCGTGGCTAGCCGTGGCCGGAGTTGGCTAGAAAAAGGCCTGCAAGGTGACAGTTCTCGCTGGAATTTGGGGAAAGTTTCCCACAACCTATTTCTGCTTCTAACATGCATACACAACTTAAAACCTACCTTAATCTAACCTTAAAACACAACCCAAATGGTTTTAGGGGCTTACCTACGTCAAGGGTGGCAAGAACTCGCCATGAGTTCGTTGGGGAAAACCAAAACAGTGAACTCTGCCACTGTCTGAGCTCCACAACCTTGGCTTGGGGTCAAGACAGCAAGGTTCAGATAGTGGTGGTGTTGTTGTCGTTGCTATTGTTGTTTGTGTGTTGTGTCTATATAAGGTACCCTCGGGGAAGGTTGGCTTCCAAGATAGTAGAGGGAGATAAGAGGGAATAAAGAAGAGAGAGAATCGAAAGGTTGGGGGGAAAAGACACGGAACAAGAGGGAAGAAAGAGAGTGGACCAGGAGACCAAATAAAAGAGGTAAGCTCCATTGGCACACCAAACATGCCATAAAAGACAAACATGCAAAATATCTCCCACACATGAAATTATAAAATTGCCCTAGACGTTCCGTGTTTTGTAGAATCTGAAACGGGTCGTTACAATCTACCCCTGTTAAGAAAATTTCGTCCCTGAAATTTGAAATATCTTGCTATACACAAATACTTGAAGATAGGAAGAAGCATATATATAAAGAAGAAATCAAGCTAGAATAGTTGCATAAAAGTGAATGCCACTCCGTAGATTGCAGTGATTCTTTTTTCATGCCTCCAAGCTCATACTTTCTTCCCCAACAATATAATAGTAGTATCATATCTATATATAACAAAATACAATTGAAAATATATAATAACGTAAGGTAAAAAATATGTACACATAATAAGATAACGTCAAAATAGATATGTATTAACATGGAAGCCGAAAACTTGTACTGAATTTAAAATTGAAAGTTGAAATGACTCACCCAAACATTTGTAACGTCAAAATACATATATGTAACTAAAATAATGTAAGTTAAAATACTTGCACAAGAAATTAAAACCAAAAAGGAAAATGGGTCTCGCCCAAGCATTCGTAACGTCGCATACTCCGGAAATAGGTGTGTGTGTCTTTGGGTCGAGCCCAAACAATAATTAATTAGTAATTATTACCGTAGACAGGTCTACTTGCCCACTTGCTTAACAAACTCAATGAATAAGCCATTGATATTACATTCTGCAGCCCACAATATCGACAACTCATTGTTGCCTCGATAAACAAGTAGTAAATCCCGAGGGTGCAAACTTACCATTTTGTCTAAACTCCAAGGTGACATCATCTGAAGCATACAATTTTCCATCGAAATTTTGATCCTTCGAATACCAGTTCATAATTCTCTTCTGTCTAACAAGTGTTGCCTGTAGAATCTCTCATACCATGTCTCAAATAGTGCCATATGATCGGATCATATTTATATATATTTTTACTTTAAATTCACTCGTCTTTTCTTGGTTAGTTCCTTATATTTTTGAGCTATTTACGTTATTTTTGTGTTTATAGGATTTGTTATGCAAAGAAAATAAAAATAGAACAAGTGAAATTTTATGTAATAAATTCGTCAAAAGCAAATTTAAATTACAATATTGCTAACCCATTGTGACGCTAAATGATAAACCAATATTTAAACTATATATTTCATCATTTTATATTTCTTTTCTTGTCTAATTTAGTTGGAAGCTTTAAGTATTTATGATACTTTTGATATATTGTGTTTGTAGGAGTAACATGATCGAAAGAACTTATTTTTCTGCTATATGGGGCTGCTAGAAACTAAATGAAAATAAAAGGAGAGAGCTAAGGGGAATAAAAGAAAGCTGCCTTTGCAGCTAGCGAGAAAAGAAGAAGTAGAAAATAAACGGACTGGTCAGGTTGGGATCAGAGTTTGCACTGAGGTTTTATTAAACTTAAAGATATTTGGTGGAATGCGGTAGATGGAGAATAAGCTGCCTTTGGCAGCATGTGAAGTAAAAGCAGCACTAGGCCACTTGCAGCGTGGAGCGCAGAAATAAGAAACAAAAAGAATAGGCACTTGCAGCGTGAGTGTGGTGGGTGAGGCATTAGCCTCGGGAGAGTGCAGCCTTGAAAAACCGAGTGCAGCCTTGAAGAGAGGGGGGAAAAGAAGAGGAAAGGGGAGTGAGGGAACGCGGAAAAGAAACGGTGAAAAAGGAAAGCTGCCCTTGGGCAGCGTGAGGATAACAAGGCGCGGGAGGGGTGAGTACGAGCAACAGTCCACACAGGCGCAGGAAACGGGAGAGCAGGGAGAAGACGCACAGCGCCAGCGCAACGGAAATAAGGAGAGGCAGAGAGAAGGTCAGAGGCGCAGGAAAGGAAAGAAGGAAATAAGGAGAGACCAAGAGAAGAGAAGGCAGGGAGGACGCCAGTGAAGAAAGCAGCAAGCTGCCTTCTCTCTCGGTTAAATCTTTCCAAACTTATATTTTATTTCTGTTTTAATAATGTGTAAATAAACTTATTTTGGCTAGAGGTTAATTCAAAGCCATGAATATATTTGTAATATGATTTGATTACCTTCAGTTGTGATTTCTGAGTTGTGATTTAATTTGCTTAACTGCTTGATTGATAACTTATTTTTGTATGTCGATTAAGGATGCATACTTAATTTACATGCATGAATTTGATGCTAGAATATAAGTGAGTTTCACCTAATCGTTATGAACTTATATTCACAAGTAGTGAAGGTTGCTAGTCACAATCACGTTAAGTAAATTCTTGGCATAAGTTTTCATGCAAATCATAGTAACGAGTGCCTCGTCAATGCTTATGTTTTTCATAGAACTTAATGATTCTTGCTTGTATCTCTATTATGCAATTCATGTAGGGAACGTGTAGGGAATGTTTTGGGTTGTTGTATGCAATCATCCAACCCAATAACTTAAGGAAAACTTGAAGATTAAAAAAGTGCTGTTCACGGTTAATCTGAAGTATTGTGATTTACAATTTATTGAAAGAACAACTGAAAATCAATTTAGGTTGCATATGTGTCATGTGTGGAGAAGAACCCTCTAGCTAGTCCGTCACCTATCCTTTCACCTTAATTTCATGTTTTTGTCAATTCTGTAATTTATTTAAGTTTAATTTACGTCTCGTCAAAACCAAACCCCCCTCATTATTAAATTATATTATTTAGTTAGTTTTCATTGTTGTTAGTCTTTTAATGCAATTTCCGTCCATTTCAGTTCCTAGTGTCTAATTTGATTGTTTTCATTATTTTGAGTCATTCTAAGTGTGTTTCAAGTTATTAGAGTTTTTAGCCTAGTTTTGTGTCCTTGAGTCTTGTTTAATATTTTTAAATTAATTTAGAATAGATTAGCAATCCCTCCTAATCCCCGGCCTAGAACGATACCCTACTTACATCTATACTACAATTGTCAAAAAGAGGGTTTAATTTGTGTGTCAAGTAATTTTCACATCAAATCTTGGCGCCGTTGCCGGGGATTAGCAACTTTGCTAATCCCTTTATTTTGTTTTTGCTTATGTTTATATTGGTGTTTGTGTATTTTACTTTTGATATTTGATTTATTTTTCTTTCTTTGATTTTAGGTACAAATGGAGCAAGACATGGCAATTGCGACCATTCAAGCTCAATTGGCACAGCTCACTGCTCAATTGACTCATAATGCCGAACGGACCACAATGCCAAGTGTCCCTACACTTGATGTGCCCTATGGGCAAGGATATCAAAGTCCTCAATTTTCTGCCAATAAAGATGCTTGGGGTTATCAAGGTTATGATCAACCAAGCAACAACATGTTTTCCAACGCTTACAATTCGGCTTGGAGAGATCATTCAAATTATATGTGGGGGGAAGCTCAACAAGTTCAACATGAAGGATATTGGCAGCCATATGAGGAGTTCTATTCAGGACCTATGCAGCCACCACAACCTCATATACAATATGCCCAATCAAACTCAGATTCGTCAATAGATTACAATCAAATTTTTGATGAATTAAATTCTTTGGCGCAGGGCTCACAAAATCAAGCCAAGGAGGTTCAACAAGATGGATATTGGCAGCAATCTGAGGAGTTTTATTTAACGCCTATGCAGCCACCACCGCATACCCCACAACAATTCCAATCAAATTCAAGTATGTCCATGGATAGTGATCAAATTCTTCAAGTACTAACCTCTTTGACGCAGGACCAACAAAATCAAGACAAGAAGTTGGATAAATTGAAGAGTCAAATGGGAGAGATTATGGAATTCATGGTACAAATTCAAGAGCAAAGTAAACTCTCCAGCTCAACTGTTGAAAATTCGAAGGAAGATTTTGAAATCCACGATGCTATCACTTTGGAAGGTGACATGAAGGATGAAGTTGTCCCAGAACCATCCAAACACAGCCCGAACATGGATGAATTGCTGCTGCAAGCAGAAGAGGAGGAGGACGACCTGGGCAGTTTAGAAGAATTCTTGCTGCAAGCTCCTCAAATCCCTATTTCATCCAACTCAGGTGAGGAAGTTCTAAATTCACTTCATTCTAACATTATTCCACCGAATGTCCTTTGTCCTTGCAGGTTTTTGATTCCAAATATCAAAGAGAGTGAAAAAGACATTGTGGAAGCTCTTCCAAAGGTGCAAAGTGATATCCCAATTCTTGGTGCACCAAAACAAGTTCCCGATGGTATTGAAACGTTCAAAGAACCTTGCACACCAAGAAAAGAGATTCAAGAGAATGAAGTGGTTGAAGCATATCAAGAATACATCCAAGAGGCTGTGCATGAGACAATCAAGCCCAAAGCAGTTGAGTTTGATGACACGGGACAAGCCACAACCATCATAGTAAACCTGGCCAAGTTCAAAGTCCCTGAAATGTTCACAAATGTGGTGTTTGTCATTGAATTTGTGTCGGAAAAAGAAAGTAAGCCATCTTCTCCAATTTCAATTTTAATTTATACTAACATATTTCTGATTTTGATGATTCAGGCACCCACTCTTGAATTTAAACCATTGCCGAATCATTTCAAGTATCACCTCCCATTAAAAGATAAATTCCATGCTTTGGAGCCGAGGGGAATTTAAAGGAAAGATTCGTCCGGCTAAAGACGTTAAATCAAGCGCTTCTTGGGAGGCAACCCAAGCATTCAACGAAGGGAGACTTTGGAATCGCTAACCCAATCAGATTTGCATTCTTACACCCTTATCTTTACTGCTTTCATTTTGTTTTGTTTAGTTAGTTGTGTTATTTGGTTGATTTCTGTGAGTTTGTGTTATTTAGTTTAAGTGTGGGGGAAGGTTAACCAAAGTCTTTTTACATTAATTTACATTTAAAAAAAAAAAAAAAAAAAAAACATTAAAGTAAAAATATTTTACAATGATGTGTAAACTAATAGCATTCATTGGTCAGGTGGTGCTTCAGTAGTCGGCGGAGCTTCAGCAGGCGGCGGGGCCACGGAAGGAGGAGGTATCAGAGGTTGATCAGTTGGAGCTTCACTACGCGGTGCCGCCCCAGAAGACGAAGGCAGATGCGGTTGGAACAAACCCACAAACCTTCGGTGATCAAGTAAAATCTGACCATCATTTTCCTGCGGCTGGTCAATTTTCCTCTTCATGTTTGTGGCATAACTGTGTGCAAGCTTATGCAATTGTTTATTTTCATGCTTGAGTCCTCTAATCTCCTATTTGAGACTCTGTATTTTAGCCACCAACGATTCAACGTGACGGGTTCGAGCAAATAGGCGTTGGGCCATGTTGGACACAGAACCCGCACACTGCACGCTAAGAGCCAGAGACTCCTTAACCGCCAATTCATCAGACCGTCTAGCGAGCAGTCTGTTATCTCTTGGGGTGACAAGGTTCCGGGCCACCACCGCAGCTGTCATATCATTTTTCATCACTGAATCCCCCACGGTAAGGGGACCGGTAGGGGATATGAAGGATGGGCGCCATATGTTGTCTGGTGAAGGCGGAGCTGCCTCTTCACCAAGGTTCAAGTCAAAACGGACGATCGAGAAGAATGATCAATTAAACAAGGCCAGACAGTTTTTACAGGAGGGAGCTCAAGGTGTGGAAGAACAAAAAAGAGAGGATGACTGAAAAGATCAAGAAGAAATTAAACAAAAGAAGAAGGGAAAGCTCAAGAAAAAAATTGGAAGAGTCGTCTTCTCAAAAGAGCGTTCTCTTTTCTGTCAAGGTTGAAGGGAGTAGGCTCTTTTCTCAAAAGAGCTGCTTCTCATTAAAAAAGATGGGCTCTCTCAAAAAAGAGGCGCACCTCAACCGAAATTAAACTCAAAGATTCCAGGCCCTCTCGAAATCTGCAAAAGAAATCTCATTTCGAAAATTACGTCAAGCTCCGTTCTCAAACGCCTGATTGTAACTTTTCTCGAAGGAGTTTCCAAAAAGGGATTCTTTTCTCAAAAGAGGCAATGTTTCATTTCTTAAAGGAGGGCTTGCTCGCCGATTTCAAAAAAAATCAAATTTGTCACACGTGTCGTCACTCGTCACATGCAACGTGCAGCTTTGCGGAAAATTACGGGCAACTTTGTCAGAAAGCGCGATTTGTACTATTCATCCATCCACCGGCTGCCGACAATGAATGAGGGAATAGTTCCGGTTGTGAAGAAAATCCCATATTTCCTTCATCCCCTCAGCCTTCCACAGCAAATTCTCCAACTTCCTCTGAAATGGCTTTCCAACAAACCCTTCAACCACCCATAACCCCTGGATACCCTGCAAAGCAAAAAAAGTATTTCATATCATGAAGGTTGAAAGCAAGAGTATCTCATATCATGCTTTCTCCCTGTCCTTCTCCAGCCAGCCCTTGCTCTCGAGTACTCATCATCTTCTTATGCTTTCGCTTTGTTTCTCACTTATAAGGGAAGTGAAGATGATACCTCGAAGCATGTGGAGACAACGTGCTGATTCATCCTCAACTAAGGACAAGGAGAAAGAGAGCAAGAGGTGGGCACTTGGAAAGATTGAAGAAAGAAACAGACCAACACCTCTCCCTCGTGCCTGCCCGTCGTGCAGAAGAAACAAGCAGAGAAGAATGCAGCTTGCACAATCATCCCAGCAGATGGAGTCTGAGATGAAGAACTAGAGAAGCTGCCACATCTGCTTGGAGAACAAATAAAGAACTGCAACATCACCAAAGAGAAAAGCTCCGCCGTACAATATCATCAAATCATCACTTGCAAGTAAAAAGCTAAGTGTCACCCCGTTCAAAAGGAAAGCTGTGGAAAGTCAAGCACGACCAATGACTTTATTTAATTCATTGTCTTTTATTCAATTTGATTTTTCAATTTTTCAAGCACGATTTTTATTACCATTTATTTTTTTTTGCAATTTTCAATTTTTGTTATTGCAATTTTTTTTATTATTTTTTCTTGTGTTACTT